GGGTTTTTTTTTGTTCAATCTTTTTTTATTCTTCCCTGAAGACTTGCCACTACCTCACAGAGAACCAGGTAATCAGGGCAGAGATCCAAACCAGCAAGGAAATAAGACTCGTGGCAACAGTTACGACTGTTCCCTATTAGGCTTGTGTTGATCTTATGTTGGAAGACAAGGAGAAAAGCAGTTGCTTGCATCTAACTGACGAGTGATAGTGGCCATCTACATGTTTTATATACAAATACAGTTATTTTGTCTCAAGAAGGGGACTTGCAACTGAGCATCCTGCTGTTGGCATAGAAAAAGCCTTAATTCCATCTATTGCTCTGCCTTCTAACATGCACTCAAGATAAAAACAAGACTGCATTCAAGTGTGTCCCCTCGTGCAAAATTGACCATTTTCTTTAAGTAAGTTTTAACTCAGTTTGCCATTAATCTGAAATATTCTGTGTACGTGAATTGTTACACAGATATAAAAACACATGCAAAGCAATGTTTTCCAAAACAGGAAAAAAAAATCCCCAACCTGGCCACATTTTAGTCTTTTCACTCTATGTACCCTCAGGAGTCTGGAGGAGGCTACATGACCTAGATCCTATTGATGAGCAAGATAAGGAGCAGAAGCTGCCCAACAGCAGGCAAAAGTACTGCTGGAAAGGGCTGGTGAGGCAACCTAAGCCTAATCCAAGACCTAAGAGGGGTTTTCTCATAGTTCTGTGGATTTTTGGCACACAGCCTAACACTGTCCATGCTCTGTAAGCTACTTAAGGACATGCCCAGTGTTAAGTTAAAGTCAAAGGGACTGCTGGTGTCCTTGAAGAGAAGCACGTGCTAAAGGAGGCTGTGGCTGGGGCCACAACTCTGGTGCTGCTGGGCAGAGCCGAGCCTCAGCGTTGCTCTGGTAATTCAGAAACGAGGGTGATGCTGGTGGTGAGAGGCCTCCTGCTGCTGCTTAAGCAGTTGGTGTTGGCTCTCTCACAGCTGCCCCTGGAATTCTCCATCCCTCTGCGGGCTCCTGTGTCCATGCATGCCCTGACCACCTGAACTGTGCAAGCTGCTTACCAGAGGCATTACCCTCAGTGACTTCGGTGGGGACACCTGTCTTCATTATGAATACAATGAGGCTGGGGCTGGCAGGGATCTCTCATGACAGCCCTTGGAGCTTGCTTTGCATGAACCAGGCTCTTCTGGCTTTCCAGGAACACTACAAAGCTCACCTTTCCCACCAGCTCTGGAAATATGTGCAGTGCACTTGGTCACAGTCTTCTTTGGTGTGTGACAGAAAATGTCTCTAAGTCTCTGCTGCTGAGATACCTGAGGTTGTTTCTTTTGCATAGTCATGGAAAGAGCATTTTTGGTAATTGGGATGCTAGCTGCAGTTGTCTCTGTTGTGGTTGTGAACCCAGCTAGAGGCAAACAAATCCCATGCAGCTGCTTGCTCACCCTCCCCCCGCCTGGGCATGGGGGAGAGAATTAAAGGGGTAGAGGGAAAAAAGAGTTGTGGGTTGAGATAAGAACAATTTAATAACTAAACTACAATAATATTGAAAATAGTAGTGATAATAATCATGATAATAATAATAGTAACATATACAAATGAGTGATACATAGTGCAAATGTTCACCACCCGATGACCAAGGCTCAGCGCATTCCCAGCTAATGATCGTGGAGCAGGGAAAGTCCCAAAGCCGCAATCCCGGAAAAAGAGATAAGAGCGTGAGCATCTGAGACTGAGAGCCAACTGAGAGAGGAAGATAACCTTGTGAGAGAACACTTCCAGACTGATCCTCATCTATATACTGGGCATGATGTGCATGATATGGAATAGACCATTGGCCAATTTGGGTCTCAATCCTAAACCTAAGGTCGAACACTAGTTGGTGCTGTCCTCCCAAGTCCTTGACTGTCCTGGCAGCAACCATAAACATCAGTACCTTTTTAGCCTTCTCCTCAGCACTAATCCAAAAACACAGTCTCACACTAGCTCCTATGAAGAAAGGTAACTCCCGTTTCAGCCAAAACCAGGACAGTCTCTAATCCTGAAAGTGGCTTATTTGATCAGTATAAACCACTACTGACTTGAAACTTAACAATCTGCCAATGCGTTGCAAAGGATTAAATATAGTTTGGGGGAAGGAAGCACGATTTTTAACTCCAATAATAGCAGGAATTATTTAGATATGTTGTCTAGGTTTTCAAGATTCCTTGTAATGTGTCATGTCAGTAACGCCAAAATGCTTTCAAGCAGAAGAGTCTGTATAAAGAAGTAGCAATGCCATTTTCCTTTACAGCTGGAGACAACAGCACAATCTCCACAGCACATCTTCTATTAACATCTTTATTTACAGCATTTGGCTGTAGTACACTTCTGGAATTTCTTATCCCCTAATTCAAGACTTCACTGTGGCTTTGGCTACCTCACCCACTACTGTAATATGTAAAGACTTATCTAGGTCAGGAAACTAAACCTGCTGTAGCACAGTTTTGATCTAAACTGGAGCTGACATTTCTCTAGGGTACCTAGGGTAATGCAGAAGGATCAGCTGGAAGTCACTTTTCTTTTCTAGATATACCAGGGAATTTAAATCTGTGTGAATGGCAGAGTCAGCCAAACTATGCAGAATTAGTAAACTGCTCTCTAAATAACTACTGTTTTTAGAACCTGTAAGTCCCTTGAGCAGCTCAGTCTGTTTGCAGGATGCCAACTCTGAATTCAGAGCTCAGCAAAGTCTCTTCTTTCGTGGATTTTACTGCCTGGCATACCAGCTGCGTTAAGCAGGGACCATGGAGGACGCACGAGGGTTGCAGAGCAGTGCAGAGGATGTTCCAACAAACCAGACAGTGCTTCGCGACCCAAAATCACACTGCCAAACCAACATGCAACCATAAAAGGTGACAATTAAACGTCTGGCTTTGGATAAAACTTTGAAGCTTATAGGCTGAACAATGAAGTGCTTGTTAGGGGAGGAAATGCCAGATTTATAGAGTTAAGCTGTTTTTTATGGTCTAATGTTGATCTAATTTTTAATGTGACAGTACTAGCATGCACAGAGGGATTGGCCATTTTTCTGCAAAGTAGCCAGGTCCTGGTGTCCAGACTGGTTTTAGAGTTCTGACCAAAGGGTTTGGGGGCTGGGAGAGCAAGGGAAGGGAAAGGAAGGATCTACTATCCATGAAAATAACTCTTAATAGGGCAATAGGAACTGCAAATAAGCATATCGGTGAAACACCCAGTTAAAAAAAAAGAAGGTGTTTCCCCCGTTCTCTCACCCTTGCACAGTTCTGATCATGGTTTTGGGATGGATTTTGAATGTGATGGAAGTTACCCCCAAGGCCAGTTAAATCACTTAATGCTACACTGCTTGAGTATTTCTGCTGCAAAAAAAAATGTCTGGCAGATGTCCACATTGCTTGCTATTTTTGCCCTTGTTGAGGATTAAAGTTGTGCATCCACTGCAATCACCAGAGCAGAAGATCTCATGTTAGCTGAGGCATTTCTACAGCACTGACTGCAGGTGCAGAGGTAAAACTGAAAAATAAATAATCATTCTGCTACTTTTGTGTGGGTCTAGAAATTGGCAATCACAGCTTCCTCACAGGCATGTATATTCCAGTACATACTACTTATTTGAATGCTTACGCATGAGCTTCAAGCAGCTGCATCACACTGAAGAAGGGGAATGCAGAAATCTAAGAGCTGACTGTTGCCATTGCTTTGGTTTGAGAGCCTTGCTTGTTTTCTTAGCTGGAGCTGCAGACCATTGTTCAGGCTCAGTGCTCCCACTGCTAATATGATGCTGCCTGCATCATGACTAAGGGCCAATCAAAGACATCTTTAATTGGGGTCAGGAAAGCCCCAAAGGAAAACAAAAATCCTCTAAACATAGAGCAACAAACCAGGGACTTTCTTACTTATTTTCTTAGACCTTTACGAGTATAGTGCTGCTAGAGCAGCTGATCCAATCCAAATTAAATATTAGAGGCTCCCACTTAGCAGAAACAGCAACTATCTATCTGCTGAGATTTGGAACATGATAACAGACATACACTTGCCCTAGATTTCGATGAGAGCTGGGTGAGAATTTTCCAACTTAACAGTTTAATGAAAAAATTCTGGTTAGAAATCTGGACATTTTGTTGGAAAAGTATCTGTTTTGTCAAAAAACAAAGAATAAACCAGAATGCTCAGATAAATTATAAGTCAGCATAGTTCACTGTTGGTTTGGACTTTTCTGCTATTTTTGTATTACATGGAAAACGAAATATACCAAAGGCACAACAAATAAAAAGGGGTATCTCAGAATGGCTTATTTTGAGTAACGCTCTGGCACTCTGACTTTCATTCTCATTTGGAATGAGGAAAAATTTTGAAACCTCAGCCTGAGTTTTGAGACAAAAATAAGCTTTTCACAATTTGAGAAAATAGACACACACATAGTTTCTACCCAAACATGACAGGTGTGTTATTGACCCTTCCTGGGGATCACTTCAGGCATCCCGTGAAGCATTGGATCCTGTGATCCACTTTGATAACCAAGAGAAGAGATGGGAGTGAATGTGTCAAGGTTTTTTCCAGTGCATGGGTAAAGGCGGTAAGCAGGGGGGACCTACGGTGCTGTGGGGAGACAGGGAATCAAGAATCCAAAGAGGAGGCTGTTTACAACTGAGCATGGGGCTGGGAAGTGGGATAGGCCATGGAAAAAGGAAAGGCTTTGGAGCGAAATACTTCAACAAAGTGCTAGTGAGGAGAGAGGTCTGTAGTGAGAAGACTACTTTGGCAGAAGAGTCTCAAACCTTGTAAAAAGTGCTTTGATATGCAGGAGAGAAAGAAGCCATCATTCCTGCAACTCAGAACTGTGATAAAAAGATCTTGGGAGGGGTTGTGAAAGGGCCAAGTGGATTTAAGGGGGGAAAACTGGCTCTGAAGACAATAAACCTCACACCCATGTGTCAAAGTGTCCAAACTTGGAAAATATTTTCTCAGAGCATGAAAAACGTTCAGTTATTTGAACCTGGGGGGGGGGCGGGTTCCTCACCTGCAGGGAGTGGGTAAAGCTCTGGCTGTGCCCTCTGTGCCAGTGCACCAGGGGTGAGTTGAGGACAGGCAAGCATCGCCGGGACCAAGGAACAAGCATCCTCCTGTGGCTCTCTCGGAACCACCTTTTTGAATCAAGGTTACACTCCATTGCTTAATGTTTTTCTCCCAGATTCCCCACGAATGGGATACTGTCTCCTTGATTAATGCATATACGTATTTGTATGATTTGTTTGCTTTTCATTCCTGCCTGTCCCTCTGGCACTATTATTAAGGCTTTATGGATAAGAATTAAGTCTGCGATTCCCTTGGATGACCCATGTTGATAAGCTGCTATGTTCATTTTGACTGTCTCTGCACAGCAAGACCCTATTTTTTGATGTTTCAAGGTGCTTCTATAAATAAACTGTAGCTTTACAGAAACTCTCCTTTCTGTTTCCCACCCCACTCCCCACATCAGACACTGATGCACTTCATTGTCCTGAAAGATCTGCTTCCCATTTATCCATGGAATATTCAAGGATAAGTGTAGCCAACTAGAATTAAAAAAAAAAAAAAAAAAGAGGGAGAGAAAGGGAGATTTTTCTTACACTCTTTGCTAGGATGTGCTGTGTACTTTTGGCTCGTCTTCGGGCAGGACTACATGCTGCAAAAAGAAGAACAGGAACACTGTCAGGGTGCAGTGGAAGTGGACAGGATGAGGTTACACACCTCTGAAAGTCCTCTGTGAGAATACATTGGGGTCATGGGGGGGAGGGGGGAAAGAAGAAAGGGTTTAAGGAGGATTCCAGCTGAAACAATCCAAAAGAAAGTCCTTTTTAATGTCACCTCAGAGACCATGCTCCACCTATATAATACAGACATCTGTGGGCACAGGGCAACAGCCTTCCCCAAGTTTCTGCACCTCTCCCATAGGCTTCCAGAAGGAACCGTCCTCCTTCCTGAGTTTTGATCTGCCCTTCCACCTGCCAGTGTTTCAGAAGGAAATGAGCTGCTTTTTCCATCCAGTCATCTTCAAACATGACTAGTGTATACATTAACTTTGGAGAGTCCTATCATTTTATCTAATAGGGACTTTTTCAATAAGCTCAAACTCCTTCATGATGTAATTCCACTTTCATTGCATGATGTCCAAAGCACACCATCTGCACTAAGCCTAGTCTTTTCAATCCTCAGAATGACCCATTCAATTCTTTAACTTGGGGCATTTTGCTTAAAGTCTATTTCTCAATTTTGTTTCTGTGGTGGGTTAACCTTGGCTGGATGCCAGGTGCCCACCAGGCCCCTCTATCACTGCCCCTTCAGCACAATAAAGGGGGAGAATAAGATGAAAAACTCGTGGGTCAAGATAAAAGCAGTTTAATTAAAGCAAAGGCCAAGGCCACGCACAGAAACAAAAGGTAAACAAAGATGTTATTCTCTGCTTCCCCTCAGTAAGTGATGTCCAGCCACTTCCCAGGAAAGCAGAGCTTCAGTGTGTGCAGCAGCTGCTCCTGGAGACAAACACAGGAACAAATTCCCCCCTCCTCCTCCCTGCCCTTGGCTTTTATGGCTGAGCTGAGGTCACATGGTCTGGAACAGCCAATCCGGGTCAGCTGTCCCGGCCCCGCCCCTCCCAAGCTGTGTCACACACCCCCTGCTGGCTGCCAGGGTGATGCTCAGCGCTGGGGGGCTGCTGGGGGGATGCCAACTCCATCTCAGCCTCACCCAATGCAGTTTCTTAAACCCATGAAGACACCAAAACTGTAGGCAGTGAAGTGATTTAAACACTTGTTGTTTCAGTTTGACTTGAAACTTGCCTGAAAGACTCTGCGATACTCCCAGCTCTCCCTCTCACCATATCTCACCCTTTGCTCTTTGAAATTACTGCTCTGCCTTGTGTTCAGGCTAGAGGAGCTACAGGATTTAGCAGCCAAATTCAGCTGCTAGATTAACCTGCCAAATTCAGAGAATTAACTCCAGTTCTAAAGGCTGACCCTGAGGGCAAGCCATCTGAATGGGGGTTTCCTGTTCAGGCTCCATGTACAATCCAAAGGTTCTGAAGAACCAGGAAGGTTTGTTATGGGATGATGGGTGACTCTTACTCTCCGGGTAAAGCTTTCCCTTAAATTTTTGGCATACATTCAACTCCAGGAATGACAGTGCTTATCGCTGCTATGCATTAATGTTCGCAGAGAGTTTTGAACCTGTGGAAGCAGCTTGAGGTCATCCAAGGCTGCTCGTTACTGCAGCCAAACTCCTCTCCTCTGATGGCAGGAACGACAAGTGACCGGGCTTTCCAGGGCTCCAGTACAAGCGGAGCTGGCAGTGGGACCAGAGTCACTCTTCCTAGACAGCTTGTGTTTGTTTAAATGCCAGCCCCCAATACCCCAGCGAGGATATGAGTGCTGAGCACTAGGACCCCACTGGATATAAATAAAGTTTTGGCCTATGCTGTGCCCATAGTGAAGCACAGCAGTAACATGGGAGGTGGCCGACCTTGTCCAGGGTCCCTGCCAGTGACCGGCTGCAGCGCAGGGTGCTTCCGCGCTGAGCTCACCAGAAGCAAGTTATCTGCCTGTGGAGAGCTTGAGAGTGTGCTAAACTGTCAGTTTGATTATGGTCTGTTTTGCATCGCGTGGTATCCTTAGGGATCCCTAATGCCTTCTTCTGCAGGACATTTTTTATATTTTAAACCCTGGTGAGTGTGGCATGAAAACCAGACAAACATAATGAAGGTGGGTTTTTTCCTAGGAATATGTTGCAACTTGTTTTTGAAGCTGCTGTAATCACCTGTACTTCTGGAATTTAATCATGTGAGGACTAGACTAATTGCTCACAAGCAAAACACTCAAGCACAGAAAAGGTTAGCGACGCAAGGAACTATCTTGTCTTGCTAATATTTTATGCATTTTACTGGACAGTGTAAGGAGCACAGTTTATACAGATTTCTACCAGAAGCAAGTACTGTTGTGCTGTTATTGGTACACAGGCTGGTGCTCAAGTAACAACACATAAATGTGCCTAATGGTAATAAATTTGCATGTTTTCAGAGTATGTATGATCCAGTCCAACTCACTGCCTGTTATCTGCCAGAGAGAGTGGCAAATGGCTTACAGGGGCTGAAGAAAGGCAAGGCATGAAAGGGAAGTCACAGCACCAGCAAACACGCAATTACTTGAATAGCCACTGAAAGGAGAGTGAATCACAGAGGTAGCCAGAAGAGACCCACTTGCACAGGAACACAATAGCAACAATGCAAACAGTGGGGCTCCAGTGCTCTCCCTGCAAACATTTTTTTTTTCTGCAGGGAGTGGGAGCAAGAAGGGCAGAATGAATCCTTGCAGTTGATGCTTCTGGATTTTCTGCAAAAGGATGTTTGTACAGCCCCGCTTTTGGGCAACAAAAACAATTACAGTGATGGTTCACTTTGTCATTTCCACTTACATTCTGAAATTAAGCAGCTGAGAGCTCATGCTTGCAGCTTGTACGTAAAGATCTGATCTGACCCCACAATTTGTTTTCCCTGCTTTTACCTGCTTTCTTGTTGCTGAAATATGCAGCCATTGGGTTTAAACTAATTTGTTCAATCAAATGCAGACTGCGCTTTGTCCGGTTCTTACTCTTCATTACAAGCAATTAATGTTAATCATGCATTCATTTCCAGGGCATGGCTTTGGAAATGTTCCACTTATTGAGCCAGCAGACTTAAATTCAACATTCATGCAGTTCACCCGGTTCATCTGAGCTGCTAACTGCTTGCAGAACTTCATTTTCTTTTCTATTACACAGAATAGCCACACAGTTGCAAGCTGTCACTTTAGCAATTACCTCATAGGTATATCAACACCAATTCCAGATCTCCCAGTTTCGCGAGTGCAAAGATTTTACACAGCCACAATGTCGAAGCACCTGCGTGGATTAGCTCCAAAGACAAGCAACGAGCGCGGGGCTGCCAGCAGAGCACGGCACGGCACAGCAGAGCAGATGAGCTGCTCACTTCGGAGATTTCCCTGATGCTAAACACCCTGTCCCTCTAAAAGACAACACCGTAGCGGTTGTTACAGTTTTGATGTACTCACATTTGGATGAAATCACAGTGGTGAAAACTTCTAGATTTTCGTCGCTGCAGCTGTAAATCTGGTGCATTTTCCACCTCTCCTTCCTGACTGCCTTTCAGCTTCATGCAACTGCTCTGAACTTCTGGTAAATAGGTTTCACTAATCCAATCTGGCTCTGTGATCATTGTCCAGATCTACAAAGGACAGACTGATGCTGTGATCTCATCTCATTCCATATTCTTTATTGCAACATTTTCTGCTCCCATCTGCCTTTCTATGAATACTATTAATGCAAAGATTTAATTTAGCTGGTACTTAAGTCTCTACTCAGATAGGAGCATTTTATTTTATGTCTCCTTTTACCAGTTTGCAGAATCCTCTGCAATAAATGGCTAATAATTAAAGTCTGTTCTGTGCAGCCAATGTATAGGCAAATAAACATTTACAGGAGTACTGCAAGGATTTTAAAAATAAGTCGGATTAATACTTTGTGTACTTTAACACACTTATTGTAAAAATTTGCTCCTCCCTTATAATGAGGACCTGATTCTAGGTGTATTAAGAAAAGCATTTTGTGCTTTACCTTTTAAGTTCATAAACTAGTACCTGAATCCTGGGCACTTCAGTGTGAAAATTTCAAATGCAGATGACTAAAGAAGGGCACATCAGACAGACATATATGCCTCCTGCACTCCAGTGGCTACAGAGGGAGGGCAGGTGGCTCAGCTATAGATGGGTTCCTATATGACTTGATGGTCTGGGGCCCAATTCCATATTCATGCACTTCAGTAAACGGTCTTCTTGCTAAAGCTTTTCATTCCTTAGTGCTCCCATCAGAATTTAGTCCTTTCCACATATATGAAAATCAGCTCCCTCAACTTCTGGTGACTTACTGCTGCCACACACATCTAAGCTCGAAAATCTTCATTTGCAGGCTCCAGCAACTGATGTAGCAGAAACACTTTCAACTGTGAATAATGATTTAAAATTATGTCAGTCTGATGAAGAGCCTTCATTACTAGCACGTGTGTGTAATTAACACAAAAACTAGTGCTGTCTTCTCCTACAGATGTCTGCCACCAACAGTCCCAGATGGAAAGTGCCAGCAAACATGAGCTGTCACTGTCATATTCATGTAATGTTTCTTCTTTGAAATAATAAATATTGGTCAAATACACATCTCAAGCCTAGAAGCATTTGGTTTGAGTGGAAGGTGTTGCTGTTTCAAGAAAGAAACAAGTAAAGAGAAGCTGGTATCACTTGCTACCTCCTAGGGCAGCCTCCTGCCATCCAGGGACAGCAAAGCCATTGTGGGTCTGGGGGCATTGTCCCAGGCGACCGCGCCGTGTTTGAAATGGGCAGTGGGATGGCAATATAATCAACCAAAGTTCAATTAGTTTTTGATTTATTGCGCCACATGTTCTGCTTGTATGACTGATGTCATTAACATCAGGCTCGGCTGGCGTGTTCATCTGTCCCTACCCGGCTCCCTCACACTCAACAGATGGGGAGCTGCACGGGCGCGAAGGCAATTGTTTATCCCCCTATTGTTCCTGTGTCAAGCAATCAAACCAAATCCATTACCCACCGAGAAAAAGATCAGCGCACCGTCCATTCAGCAGTGAATGGAGCAGAGGCGGTTATGCAGGGAGGCTTTAAAGCTTTCAAAGGATAAAAAAAAATAATGAAGAGCAACACTGAATAGTTGACCAAAAAAAAAAAAAAAAGCTATAACAAATCTTACCCACCCTTTATTTCACCTTTGGATTTTCAGAGTCCTACGAGAAGAGGCATTTCTAGATCTGAGTCATTGTTTTCCTAATTATAGGCATGACCTAACCATATTTTTAAGTCATATCTGGGGTTTAGCATTAGAACAAATATTTGGTGTTTCATCATGTTGAGAGGTGGTGGGAATGTGGAAACTGAAGTGAGACTCAGGAACTGGTTACCAGCTGGCATTCGCTGTGTTATAGGGTAGGTTTTGAGCAGGCAGGCTTTGAACACCTGTTTCTACAGGGCACTTGATGCTCTGGGGCTGAGTCACTCTGCACCGAGAGCTGATAAAAAGCTCTCACATCACTTCTAGACAGAAAAATAGGGCTCAGGAGGGGCAATGTAATATATCCCATCTGGAATCCTCATCTGGGAATGAATATTCCCTTGTTGATGAAAGGGAGTTTGCTGCTTCGTTTTGCGCAGGTCTTACAGGGCAGTAGAGCACAATGAGTGCCCAGGGTTTTGCAGGAAATCTTAACACGGCTTCAAGAGAAGGACTGCACATACTGGGCTACTTTTTCTAGCTGTCTGTGACTTATTTTGGACAAATGTCTTGGTTTATCTAGCTACAAAATAGGTGCGATAATACCTGCCAAGGAAGTGTACTACAAAGCTCAAGTGCATGCAACCTGCTGTAGAAGAGCAGGCAGTAATTTCAGACTTGAGGAAGATACTCTCCGCAATGCCCAGCCCAGGACATGCTTGCAGAGCCACTCCAGATGATTTCACATGGTATCTCCCTCCGACTCCCTGCTGACCTAGCAAGAGTCTAGTCTGTGGTGGGAGTAGGAAACCAAGCAGTTATTGATTCTATGAATAACTTTTTTCCCCAAATTACATAAAATATCTAGAAACTGGGCTCAAATTTTTCCTCACTGCTAAACACTATTAATAAGCTATTAATTTAATCCATGTGGTACCACTGCAGTCATGAGAAGACCCAAGAAAGGTTTTGTACCAGGGTATATCTTTTAACTGAAGACTCCCAGTTCCTCGCCGTGGGCTGTGATATAGCTGTTTACCAAAAACCTGAACTTCCAGTGTTGTCAGTAAAGGATCAAAACATTTGCTGGTGCAAGAACTGGGTGACCAAAGGTGAACAGGGACAACTGAGGAGGAGGACAACTCAGGCCACAAGAACAGACATATGGTGTCTGAGAAAACATCCATCTAACCTGATCTGGAGGTCTGCGACAGGGAAGGTATTTGATTTTTGGGAATGTGGGCAGAAAGAAGGGAAAGGTGGAGAAGGGGAAGAGACTTATTTTGAGACTGAAGGAAAAAAAATGGTGAAAAAGCAGAAAGCTCAGTGAACCTTGTCAATGTGGCAGAAAATGGTAAAATGTCCCTCTGGGTGCTTTTCCCATGGGCTGGATCTGTTCAGCCACATTTGGAAGAAAAAAGTGTAGACACTTGTCTTGTTTACCAAGTACGCTAGCGCTGGTAAGTTTAGAAGGAATCAAATAAAAAAAATTCATTATGGTCAAGAAAACTGTAATTAAAACTTTGACTGATTTAAGATAAGTATCAGAAACCTCTAGACCTTATTTATCGTGGCCTTTGTAAACAAAAGAATGCCTTTCCAGTGCAGCATTTTCTTCCAGTGAAGTCAGTGGGAAGCATCCCGATACTCTCAGCATATGCAAGGGACGTTGCCAAGGGATTCCCCGGCCCCCAGAGGACAGAGGTCTTCCCAAGGCAGGTCTCTGACTTCTCCCAGGATCTTGTACCCTGTTGCGTAAGAGGCGAATCTAATCCATACTGAGCCACTTCAGCCTATTTCTTACTGTTAGCTGGGCAATATGATAAGGATAAACCCCAGGTATTTTTGGAATAGGATTGTCAACCAGAGGTATACACAGTTAACCATTTAAAAATAAGATGGGATAAAACTGCACATGCATGCTGTGGATGTTTACTCTAAAATGCTTCTGCGTGATGCAATGCAAGCGGCATTTTTTTTGTGGAAGGAAAATAACTTTCTTTAATTTTAGGGTCACAGAATTGCAACTGCCAATGACTGAAAAGGAAAACCAACAAAAAAAAAACCCCAAAGTAGTGTGCTTCTCATACATATTCTGTTATTTTTCTCTAAATTAAAGGAAGAGAGAAATAGATATGCTGTCAACAACTTCAACTCATACTTACAGAAGTCTACAAAACTATTTAAAAACTAAAGTAGCACTCCATGGTTGAAAGGTCTGTAAATAAGTGAATAATTTTCAAAAGTAACATTTTAATTTGCATCCGGCAGGAAGCTGCTGTGACAGATTTTATCCAAATGGGAGTAAGATTGAGGTATTTTTAAAACATTCTGAACTTTAAATTCACTATAAGGCACCAGCAGAGACGGGTGCAAGAGTTGCGCAGTGCACAGACTTCTCTGCTAATAAGGAAAGGAAACACCAAGTAGACCTGGAAGCCAGGCTGAAAGCGTCTCCCCACAAGTTACAGAAAGATACTGCAGGATGCTGAGGAAAAAAACAAGCCTGGCTGGCTTCTCTTAAAAAAGTTACATATAGATAATTGGACATTGACAAATTTGCCCTGAGTTTGTAAAACACACTTGAGTAAGTCCATACAATGATTAGCGAGAAACACAATGCCCAGCACTGCAAGGTTCAAGTCGCGCAGAGCTTGTGCCAGCAGCAGGGATTGCACTGAGCCAGCATTAAAGCCAGGGCCAGGCTGAGCACGTGGAGGCTTAACAAGCTTTCATATACTGGTAATCCACAGAAAGCATTAAAAATGTCAACAGAAGAGAGATATGTCCAAACTGGGCTGTGACAACAATAGCTTATTAAGATGCTGAACTTTAATTACATTTGTCCTTGATTTATTAATTTTTCAAGCTAATTGATCAGTGAGGTCTTTATTCCCCTGATAAAGCACAATAATTTTTGGATGGGGCTTTTTCACTCCCAATTTGTTCCTTTAAAACATTTTAAGATTATTTTGACTATAGGCTCCTGCTGGACAAACAAGACCATTAATTAAAGCTTGTCCTGTGGTTCCCGGATTTGTGCAGTTCCCTCTTGCTGCAACTGCATACCATGTCTCACACCATATGGAGGGAAATCACTGCTTGGGTAATCAGGCACAAAGTGCTTAGGACTTCTCCCATGGGTAAGTCTAAAGAATGAGGCCACCTGAACTGTCACCTCACTTGTCTCTTGTGTGTCCTCAGGCAGATATCAAGCTCCTTTTGCCCCGTGCAATACACATACTCTGCAGGATGAAGGTCTTTGGAGGGTATCAGATGGCATTGCCTCTTCTGGCTGAAGTCCTGCATGAAAATGAGATTGAATT